TCATGGACTTTTAAAGAACTTAAATGAAGATGTGATACTATTTTAGAAGTGTGTACCATTCAAAAGGTTTTACATTATGTGTTTTTATATTGTTGTACATCAAAGGCAAAATACATTAGTAAATACAATAGACCAAAAATTCAAATGTTCCTGTTTGTCAAAAACATTGCTTTCCCAAATAATTCTCCTGGTATTCAAACGAGTGAATGTATAATTGGGAAAATGAAGAACAGGGCCTTGGTCAACTTGCCGGCTTCAATATGAGGAAGGCAGCTGTTTTAAGGGGGGGGGGGGGGGGGGGGGGGTGGGGGGGGGCTCAAGGTCTGTGTGGCACTGAGTTGTTGTAAATGTCTCACAAACATCCAATGACACTCCGCACCCTGAGAGGGCGAAAAGGCAGGGAGAGGAACGAGACAGCCTTCAAAGACAGCACAAGACACAGATAGCAGAGCAGCGTCAGCCGTCTTAATTCGCTTCAGAATCCGTGGTTTCTTTGAAGCCGGCCCATAAGGCAGGGATCCTTGTGTAACGATCCCCTTAGTGGGAAACGGCTCTGTTAGGGTTTTCGTTCAAGGGTGAATCATTGGTACTTAAGTAATTATCTGTGTTTAGGACTGGCTGACTACGGTTTGAAAAGCCTCTTGAAGTGCCACTCATGTAAGAATTGTACAAGACGTGCACATGCCATAATATTTTCATAAAGGAATAATGAATAATGCAGAAGAAAAGAATGTGCAGAAAATGTATCATGAATGTTCCTTGAATGCACTTTAGGGTATATAACACGATACACTTACATAAAATTTAAAGTTTTAAAATCTACAAGTTAGAGACCACAAAGATCCTGATAAATATTACAAAGTAATCATCACTCAGAGTATATTAAATAATAAGCAAACAAACCATTTTATTACAAAAATGGCACCTGAGATCCTTTCCCAGAATAACAAGGAAAAAAACAATTAAACACCATTAACAGACTGTGAAGCAGTCACCATCTGTGTCTAACAGCCCGTGATCTCCCTGTTATCTGCAGTAAATATCACAGAAAGAGGAAGAGATGGGAGAGAGGACCGGGGAGATAGCGTAGCAGCTCAGTAAACAGCATGACCTCAGGGACGACAAATAAAGACGTGATCTGCCTAAGTTTCTCACTCTGTGATACTTTAGGCCTGCTATTTTATTAAGTTATTTTACGACATATATTTTGAGAAACATAAATGAAACGATTGCTTTGTAGTCTTACACTTGCAAAACAGTGTCATAAAGGTAGTGAAAAAGATGCTAAAAGAACAACCTAGTTACCAACAGTTTGCATAGATTTATAAAGATAAATTTCTGCAATAGATATCAAATAAGTGACATTTGTAATCTACAAAGTTACTGCCTATCCAAATTTGCAGTTACCCATGAATTGAAGATGTATTTTTATGGTAAGTAAGCACAGGCATATAGTCAGAAAGCACTGAACAACAAAATAAAACATTCCCTCAGTGAAAACTCACAAAATAAAAGGTTGCTGCTCTTCAATCGGTGTAAACAAAATCCAGGCATCTTGTTTATGAAGGTTTTCACGTGTTTCTTGGGGGGGGGGGGGTGTATGTTTTCTCGTGATCAGTGCTGCTTCAGTTTCAATCCCATACCACACAAAGTACCAGTGAGGTACCCTGGGAAAGGTGCTGCTCCCTGTGCTGAATTGGCTGCCCCCTGCTCTGTCACGTATGGGTTAAATGCAGAGGACACATTTCATTGTTGTGTGCTGACTGATGACTAATCACTTTCATTTTTTCTGTTCTCCTCACAAAGCTCTAAAAATACATTTAATTTCTACCTATATGCATTTGAAAAGTAGGCCGTTCAAGGATTCTGGGGTACTCTTGTTAATGTTTCTATGAAAAAAAAACTCATTTTTTTAAACGGTTTGGCAAGATTTCTGTTTTATCCCGTGGGCAGGACAGCCAACTCCAGAGGGTTAAGTCTTACCTATGTTTTGTATTGCAGTTTATAGAGAGTGAGTTTGTGTGTGTGGAAGTAAAAGACAAGTGTGAACGATGAGAGAGACGGGAAGAGAGACCTGGAAGTGCCGTGTACCTGTCACCTTCAAATACCTTAATTGCCATCGATTTATCCTGATTAGTCTCCATTGCCGTTTAGCAGAATTATATCGGTAGCATTTTATTTATAAAATATTACTGATAATGGGAACAGCAGAGAAAGTGGCGGCGCGGACAGAGCTGCAGGGGGCAGCACTGAGTCCCCCATTTGACCCCTCGGCGGTCTCTGTGTGCTGGGGGGGCATGTTAAGTCCTGCGCTGCTCTGCATTGACCTCCATGAGTTTCAGCTACCTGGTCAGCATCTACAGATGCTCGGCCAAAATGACAAAATCTCAAGATCATTAGTCAGCAATTTCTTTTAATACTAATCACTCCTTAGCATTTTATTAAAAGTCCTTTCCCTCTCCTGTCACATTGCTTTTAATCCTGGAGTCTTTCATTTTAAAAGCGATGTACATTTATTATTGGAATTTGACTTGATGAAAATAAACATTCATTAACATGAGTAGATTAGGTACTATCGCTGTTGTTTCACTGTTTTCTCTCTAATATTGTATGAATTATCTAATGAGTCAGAAAATAGATTTCAATAGATTTAGATTTTAGATTTCAGGGACATGCTCTCAAGAAGGAAGATTTTACATGAGTAATTTCCGAGTACCCTGTTACCCAGGGATTTACCTGTGCTGAGCTGGTCTTTTAAGATGATCTGTTTCAAGGCCTTTGCAATGAAAAGCCAAACCAGCCAGTGAAATACTTTCCTCCACTATATCACTACATTGTTGCCCTACCAGCAGCAGAGAGGGTAACTTTACGCAGCCTTTCTCTGACTGACGTTAAAAGTCGGACCAGTTACTTCAGAGGAAGAGGAACTGATGTAAAACAGTCACTTTGAGTTCAGTGAATTACAAGAAGAATTCATTTTGGTCTGATTTATGTGGAGTGTGGCAGGGTGGAACTTTGTTGTAAAAATCTCGCTAGCTAGCAGCTAACGCCTTTGCAGTCGGTGTCTTGCAGCCACTAAATCAGGCATGTTGACACCTCCGAGCAGACTCCCTAACCCCCAATACTGGAGTAAATAAAGACTAGAGGGGACGAGGACAGAAAGACCCTGAAGTGCAGTGTAGACAGCATTTCCAGAGAGCATGTGGTGTGAAGCAATGTGTGATCACAAGCAAGAGCCCGGAACTCTCTTATTTACACAATGAAAATAGAAGGGCTTAATCTAGTCAACAGGCACAGCAAATGTATTTTGAGATACTAAGCATGAATTGTAATTGTAGAATTTGTACACTAAAGCTGTTTAGACTGTGATGCTCAGCTTAACCTTATGGGACACAGACTTATCTAATATTACATTTTAATGTTTGATTTTATTTAATTTCTATTTATTTTGAAGTATACATTGAACACATTATTTTTGCACCTGAATAGCTGTGAAGAAGCACTTTACAGAACTCAGCAAAAGCTACTCACGTGCTGTACTTTAAATATTTCCCCCTTAATTTCTCATTAATCAACCAGTTACATCTAGAGAGGACAAGAGAGGTCCATCCATCCATCCGTCCATCCATCCATCCAACCTTCCATAATTTCAAACATAGTGATTATGCTAGTATAAATGTCTTGTACAAAGAATTAAAATAATTTTAAAAAATCACTTTTTCCATCACAACAAATTAATTTCAAACAGACATTTGGGTAGGTTTCTTTTATCCTGGATGGAAGATAAAAAAGAGCATTTTTCGGTGTCAAATATTGTGAGCTTAGAGCCGATATTCATGCTCTGTACAGGATACCGGTGCTTCCCTCGCAGCGTAGCTCTTTAGCCTCGCTTGCAGGCTGCAATGTCAGATCGATGAGCTTTTTACATGGTGTGCAGAGCTGGCAGCAAAAAGACACTGAGAGGCCGACTAGCAGCTTATTAACACTGCATGTCTGGCTCAGCTGACAGCATGAGAGAGCAGCACCGGCCCTGAAATACGCTGAGAGACATTGCTCAATGTACAGTAACCCCAGAGGCGGCATTTAATTAGGATAAAACCACAGCGGATCCCGGCAGGGGAAAACAATTAAAGCCACACAGAGCCTTCTGTGTCTAAAGCCATAATCTTAAAACGCATAACACGACTGGAAGATGGTAAATCTTGAAATTTAAGACATAGAGGCCATCCTACAACTGCAGAGTGCCTGTCCTGGACAGTTTAACAGCCCCTAATCCAACAGGTCCCCTCGATATACGTCAGTATGGGAAACAGAGGATCACAGCCCTTGGGAAACAGAGGATCACTGCTTTGATGGCCCCAGCAAAGGGAGACATCACTTCTCCAAAGTGCTGACTGCAGGTGAACGTCTATACCAACAAGTCTGTGGAGGCTCTTCTCTAGTTCTTACTGTACTTCTGCCTCTCACACCGGCATGTACTCAGGTGTGCTGTTGTGGGGCTTCTGCAGCCAAAACAATTTAAAAAAATGCACAGTATGTATTTCAGGTTCCCTCCTGTGTTTCTGTTAATATACCAGAAGTGCCTTTGATGCCATGCAGGGTTTGGGTTCAGCTGATGAAACAAGGAGGTCTTCTCCGTCCAGGCATGATCTTGCCAGATGTAGCAGCATCGGTCTTTCCCCAACAGCCCACACATTCTCTCTCTCTCTCTCTCTCTCTCTCTCTCTCTCTCTCTCTCTATCGCTCTCCCTCCCTCTCCGTCTCTTTTCCCTGCCTCTCTTTCTCTCTCCTGCTCATACGCGAAACGCACTGGGACTGCAGCAGAGAGTGATGGGGATCTCTGGCTCACGCAGCTCTCACCGGTGCTGAGTGCCTGGAGCACACTCCCGTATCCGTGTCTGCGCGCGTGCAGGTGTGTGTGCGTGTGCATGGGCGCGTGTGTCTCTCCCGGTGCCTAAGGAGACCGGGGGGGTGGGGGGGGAGGGGGACTCGATACGCAATCCAAGCCTGAAATCATCAATCGTCCATTAGAATGGTTGATGTGCAACAACTATGAGAACTGTTCCCTCTACTACTGCCATGGATGATGTTGTCTGTCAGCGCTGAGCTCTCTGATGCACTAAATGAATGAACATGCACTGGAAGACCTGAGGATCTTTGCTGCCTTGTCCTTGCCATCAGTAATCTGCTTCTCAAGGTAAGTCGGCTTCTGTTCGCCTCTTGACCGTCAGTGTCATAAGCTGATTATCAGACTGAGGGACAGTTTACTTTCAACATCCTGCCGGACCACTTAGAAAGAAAAAGATCTACCCCTCTTTGGCTTGCAGTGAGTGTCTAATCTGAGTGATGCTGTTTTGTATAGTTTGCAGGACCAGAGAAAGAATTCAGAATTTAAGAAAAATCATTGCATCACAGCCTCCTGGAAATGTGCTCTAGGTTCACAGTGCTCAGCTGAGAGAATTGCCTTTGCTTTTTGATGACTGATATCTTGTTGAATACATATCTATGACAACAGTGTAAAATTAATGGAAAAGAGAAAAAAAAAATGGAAACAGGAATTTAACACAAGAAATTGTTTCATATTCAGGATATGAACCTGCAGCTGTGTTTAGCAATCTGCAGTTATACTAAATACCTAAAAAAAAAATGCATCATTTTACATTGATTAATCATGTTTAAAAATAATTCATGATAAATTACCGAAAGCAGAAGTGCTACAACAGTAATATCTGAAAGGTAATTGATTCTTCAGGGATCCAGATTGCATGCATGCTTACTGCTGAAATGTTTAAGCAAGAACTGACATGGAAACAGGCCATCTGACTATGATGCATAAAAGTATAAAAATGTCACGGGCTGTGACGGAATGGCCCTGCTCTGAACTGGAGAGTAATCATGAGCGATGACGTGCGATAAGCCTGCGAGATGCAGCATAGTGCCACTTGCATACTTTTCTTCTGTCGTTCCCCTTCCTCTGCATCAGTCCGAGCAGAATGCAGTCTTCCCCACTGCCTTAATAGCAAACTTAGTTTAGGAAATTAGCTAAATGAATCACATTTGCTCCTTCCCATATCATTTAACCCATTTAACCCTTCCCTCATTTAACCAGAAAATGGCCTCTCTCAGAAAGCGCACCTCCTTTTAATCTTGCTCTTCGTAATCCTGGGTTGTTCTGCTGAATCTTTTAATGTAAGGCAACATCATCAATATATACCTTTACAACCCCCACCCCCCCCCCCCCCCCCCCCCCCCCCCCCCC